CTAGCGAAAAATCTGAGAAAGCTGTTCGAATAAATGCTGTTGGTTCAGGTAAAATATAATTCAATTGTTTCTGTATTGATATTAGTTCTCATAATTGGCATGTTGACATTATATCAAAGGCATGGAACTGGATGATCTTAATGTTATAGTAAGTTTATTAATTAAAATGTTAATTTTGTCATCATATTCTTCACGGAATTAATCAAAATTAATGTAAATTATTTAGCTTCGTTCGAAGAATCTCGAGGGCATTGTTATACCCAAAGTTGGGTCAGCGGATGACGTTAAATTTGTTAGCCGAATGATAGATTTAATAGCACCTGATGAGAGGTAAGATTAAATGAGGTTTAATTGATATTAAAATATCAATACATTATGTACAATTTCTAGTTTAAACGTTATAGTCGGTCTAAAATTCGTTTACTGGCGTCAATAGAAAGTGCTTTGGCCATTATGAATATTAAACAAATCGCAACGTCTGATCCTAGACTTGATGCCCTAATCGTAAGGTCCTATTTCTGAATTTGCAACCAGTTTTATAATGATAGTTGGTGAATTTACCAATTCATATTTGTGCATAGTTTGCTGCTGAGGATTATTGCGCAGATGTTGGTAAGAATTGATGTGTTACCTTATATATGAAGGTCGAAATAGCCGATTTATTATTTTATTTATTAAGGAATTGTAAGAACGCGATCACGGAAGGAAATGTTGCTAGCGCGACAAACCATAGTAACGGCCGCCAGTGCTTATGAATTGCAAGCAATTGATCTGGTAGCATGAACTATTACTATTTGTATAAATTACTGGTTTTTTTTCGTTTTACAAATTGACACTATATTGAACGGTGTACTTTTGTTTGCTACATAGGTTTGCGTTGATTTTAGGAATGATAATATCCTGACAGAAGAATGTCAAGAAGGCCGAGAGATGGGTTACCTCGGAAAAGTAAATAATTAATGTCATTAGAGAATTATTATAAATTTTATTATGACCGTGATTATGTCTTTAAAATTCTCATCATATAGCAAGCAATTCATCCGCGTCAAATCGATATTATACAACAAATGTTCTTACCTGATATGCAAGGTATGACAGATTCATCTCTATTCGATTTCTGATAAGCATTTAATTACACTATATGTTGCATAGATGTAGAAAGAGCTGCACATATTGTTTATGGTTACGAGCAGCATTCTAAAAAAGGAATTGGGGCGTTTGACTTGGATGGCAAAATGTATGTAATTTTTCCTTTTCTTTCTAGCCTGGAGCCCACAAACATTTATTTATAGGACTTAAGTCATAAATATAATCTGAATTTTTATGGGTTCCGGCATTTTTTATTTTATTATATATATATACATATATATTAAAAAGTGGATTTTTTATTACAGGATTGATCTCCCAATGGTCAAGTGGGCAGAACGAATACTCGCAAGGGCCACAACTGGCGGAATAATCATTCCTGAAATAAAAAAAGATGAAAGTAATATTGAAGCATAGTAAATCTTTATGTATACGTTACATATTAATTATATATTATATATATATATTCATTAAACTGTGAAATCGAACTGTAGATTAGTAATTGATAATCAGGCCACATATTGATAAATTGATAATCGATAACAATAATCATGTGATCGTAATATATTCACACAATTTCTACATGACAAATAAGATTGGGTATCAATAGCATACAGACATATAAAAAAACATCGCGTGTAGAAAGCACGTTTATCATAGTCGCAGTGCATGGAGCCAGGGAAAAATTGAAAAGCAGGGAAAGATCAGAATTTGTTTTTCGCCTATCTTTGATATTCACGTTGCAATCTTAGTAAACGTCAGGGGTTTCTTTACAAAGTAATTGTTTAAAACCAACAAGCAAGCACGCACGTACGTTGATAGATTTTTTAAAAAACCATGGAATTAGAATGTTGCAAGAATCGCAGGTTTCCATTAACCACTAACATATTAAGATTTATAGTACAACTAAAAAATTTTCTCAACGATCAGCCAATTATCTTATGTAAATACTGATCCCTTGTGATTTTGATGATTTTTGGAAATCTGCTGAGACACAAACGCCTGAAAAAACGGGGAAAAATTTTTTTCTAATTTATATAGTGTTGCCTCAATTTATAAAGTATTTTGTACATAATTGTCCGCCATTTCTCTCCGAGCGCTTTTTTATCTTTTTTTTACCTTCTCTTGATAAGTAAAAGCTACTTTGAGAATGCTTTAATACCTTTGATTTTTACAATAAATCCAAAAAAAAAAAGCTTTCTCCAAAATAACATTTAATAGAGTTTCGTATTTCTTTTTTCGGTCAGCTTGGGTAATATTCGCTGCGTGATAAAAACCCTGCCTAAGAAAAATATCAACAAATAATAAATAGCTTTATCAAAAAAAATTAAATAAACCTGGTGTTATAAAAAACTATTTGATAAAGAGACAGTTACAAAAAAAAAAATGTCACCTCGTACAAATTCACCTCCACCTTCGTCTTACGGTTTGGACGATAGTTTCGAGTACGCAGAATATAACCCCGGCTCTTCTTATTATCCGTCGACGCCGGCAGGAGGACAGCCTTCGAATATAAATAGCCAATTTTATTCAACACAATGTCCGGTATCACCGCATTCCACTCCATCTTTGAATAGAAACAACATTACAGATGCTACAGCTACTCGTGCTCAAGCTCGAGCTCGAAATGGCTCACGTAAGACCAAGAACAATAGTACAGGACTCTCCTCACTTTTACCTCGGACCTTAAACGTGCCACGCAAAATACTCTCTTCTTCTGCAGTACAATTCTTTACTCTAATTGTGATATATTCATTTTGCATAACAACCATTTGTTTTATATTCTCCGCTTCATATTTCCTTACTCTTTATGATGACACCCGGAGGATGCTCCGAAATTCACGCGCTTGGGCAAAAGTAAAAAGTGGAGTAAGAGAAAAGATCTCTATGTTAGGTGATGATTGGGAGGAATTCCTGCAAAACTACTTTGATCATGAAGGTGTAGATGCGAAGAACAGTCACCTTGGCGCAAATATGAATAATCATGGACAGGCAGGAGAATATATTTTATACGATCTTTAAACTCACCGCTATCATAATTATTTGCAATTAAATCACTACAAATCTTT